GCGTTTCTAGGCATCTTTGTAAGACTCAAGAGCCACGTCACAAGCCGGTTCTCCAGGAAACGGGTGACCCCGCAGCAATGGTGCTGTCTTGGGAAGACTGTGTCTGACGGGACAACTTCAAGGGCAAAGGGAAGGGACCGGGAGGAGAGCTATGAACCCAGAGCTGTGGCGGACCACGAGGGTTCTTCCCAAAGAGCTGCTGCAGACGGACACCGGTGGGGCATTCTAATGGAGAGAGAAAACAAGCTGTGTCTAATGGGCCACAGACAAAATGCAACATCTGAAGGGGTCTCATCTAGCGACTCCATACCCAGCCTCAAAACTCTGTCTTTTCGACGCTTCTCCATAAAACATGTCTTTTACACACAAAGAATGCTGCTCTCCCCCTGGTCCTACGGCACAGGGTTTATGGATGGAGCCATTCTTAGGCATACAGTTGACTCTTCAGAGTCCAGGTGTCTTATTTTCTAAATAATTTACATGGACTGGCAGCACAGACATGTGCACACCTGGATTCTGATGCTGAAGTCCACGTCAGGGAGTCCAGCCATGTAACTGAGCACCAGGGACCCACGGCCACACGACAGGCCTTGTCCACAATCACAAGCATGGACCTGGATGCAAATAGTTGTGAGTTCAAATCCCAGGTCTCCTACTCACTAGGGCGTGTCCTTGGGCACGTGTGGGCTTCCCAGTTCTTCATTTTCCCTTTGTCACATGGGGGCAGTGGCACACCCCCATCGCAGGACTGAGCGGTTGAAGCTTCTTCCTCTGTGGTACCATCATCATCCCCGTACTCCCGCCACCCTTCTCATCTCGGCATTTCCTTCACCTCATCACCGTCACACTGCCTCATCACCACGGCCTCCCCGTCGTCACCATGTGCACATCTGCACCACCACCAGCAGCACCAGCATCGTCCCAAACATCACCCTCGTCTCCACCATCGATCACCACCACCGTCTTCACCTACGGCATCAGCATTCTTGTGGGGAGCACCACCACCCTCCCCGTCACCCCCTCTTCTTCAGCAGCACCATCCTCACTGTTTACCACTCCGCATCAACCAACACTGTCACCATCACCACCGCCATGGTCATCAGCCTCGTCACCAGTAGCACCACCATCGACACCGTTTCCATCATGGCTGCGTCACCATCGTGGTCTCTGTGACCATCTCTCCACCCCACTACCACGGTCACTGCCACTACCACCCCTGTCACCACGAGGATCACTGTCACCTCAACATCACCTCCACCATCTTCATCATCATC